GAGCAGCTGGTAGTTTCGAACCGCTGACCTTAAGGTTCGCAGCCCGATTCGTAACCACTACGCTACCAGAGCTCCACGGGTACATGATTAAAATGCCCAAGTATGGCCTCAGCATCAAGGGTCAGTAGTGGTTCACAATCTGGTCACTTGGATTTATAGAACAGAGACTGTATTTCTTTGCTGAAATTTCTTGAGAGACTTCTGTGTATTAGGTCTTGTGTTGCATACCTTTTATCCATCATTTCAGGTAACCCTGTAACAATCCCAATTTATGGATGAAAACTGAGAGAAAGATTATTCCAGTCACCTGGCCAAGGCTACGCAGCTGGCAAGTGAAGATCTAGGCCTAGAACTAAGGTCTGTGTGACTCCCAACCCCCTCCTAACCATTCAGAAGCTCTGCTGACTGCCAACTTCTGTGGGTAAGAGGGGGCACACAGTCCAGATGCTATGGTGGGCAGGGGCAGAAGGGGAAGGATAAGGAGGCCAGGCATGGGTTTTCCCTGTACATGCAAGACTAAAAAAATCAGAAACAGTCCAAACTTTCATCATCAGAACAGATGTATAGATGTTACTTCCACATACAGTTGCTGTAGAATCACTTCTGACTCCATGTGTATCAGCAGAACTGTACTCCAAGGGGTTTTCAATGGCTGATTTCTCTGGAGATCGCCAGGCCTTTTTCTGAAGCACCTCTGGATAGATTAGAACTTCCAACCTCTTTGTTAGCACCCAAGTGTGTCAACCATTTGCACTGTCATGGAATATTGTTCAGCAATAAAAAGGAACCAGCCACACAACTACACAACTACATGGGTGAATCTCAAAAAATATTATGCTGAGCTAAAGAAGCCAGACACAAATGCATACATACTATATGATTCAATTTGTATAAGAACAGGCAAAACTAATATATGGTAAAAAAAAAAAAAATCAGACGAATGTGACTACCTTTTGGGAAGAGGTAGGTTGCCTCAGAAGACGTAGCAAGGAGCTTTTTGGGGTCACTGGCAGGTGTGCAAATCTGTCAAAATACTCCTTATACTTTAGGTCTGTGCACTTCACTGTTAGTAAATGACACATGAAATTGTGTCCAGACTCCCTGAGAAAGCTGTTCTCTCTTTGTTCCTCTAGAAGTAGAGGTTGGGTTGGCTCAGGAACAATTTCTGAGGTCAAGAGAGAATGTCCCAAATAGAAAATATCTGCCAGGGGCGGAGGCAAGTAAGAGTGATATTTAATGATCCAGGGTTTCCCTCTAGGGAGATAAAAAATGGTTTTAGAACTAGATCAAGATGATGAGTGTCAACATTGTCAAAGTACTAAATGCCACTAAATTGTACACTGTAATGGGAAAGTAAAAAAAAAAAATCTTTAAAAAAATTTTAAATTGTGAATTGGGTGATAGTTTACAGAGCAGTTTCTAGTCAACAATCCACATACATTTTGTTTCACATTACTGATTGCAATCCCTATGATCTAACACCACTGATCCTACTTCCTTCTTGTGTTTTCGGTTTCCATTCCTTCTTCTTTCCAAACCCTTCTGAACTTTGTTCTTGGGTAAATGCTGTTTTTCTAATCTCAAAGGGATATTAGAATATTCTAAGATGTGTGTACCTCCGTAGTGTTTTCGTTCCCCTTATAGGCCTGTCCATTGTTGGACTGGAAATTGAGCCAGGGGTGAGTTCATATACAGATCTGGATGTTGACTAAGGGCCATAGTCTAGGAGTATCCTACCAGTCTCTAGCAGACCAGTAAGCTTGGTCTTTATGATTTTGAGTTTTGTTCCACATTTTCTCCTACTCTATCCAGGACCTTCTAATGTGATCCCTTTCAGAACAGTTGGTAGTGGTAGCTAAGCACCATCTAGTACTTCTGGTCTCAGGGTTGTGGGAACTGATGTTCATGTATCCCATTAGTCCACTGGACTATTTCCATGTAACATGGCTAATTTTATGTTATATGAACTCTACTTCAATTCTTTAAAAAGTGAAAAAATAAAATAAGAGAAAGATAAGGCCACAAAATAAGGGAAGAAATTTTTCCCTCTAACAAGTTCTCACCAGCAGAATTTCACCATCTCTGACTGCTTCCCCAGTGTACTATGGGTATCTTACAGGCAGACCTGGGTCTGATCTATCTCACTGCTTGCTGCCTCCACATGAATGTTTGAGATTAAGGCACAGGTTTGCCTGCTGTGTAATGAATGAGTATAAGAGCAAATGAATGAACCTGACCTGAAGGTAGTAGCTCAAAATACCAACAGAGAGGGAAGGAGTCGTCACATAAAGAATCAATACTATCCCCTCTGTACACAGGATAGATAGGGACGGGCAACTTAGACATTGGCTACCTAAAATGAAGGGGCGATAAAGGCACCAAGTGGTGAACTTACAAGTTTTCAAGAGGGAGTTTAGTTTAAGGGGGTGGGGAGATGGGCGGGAGGTAGAGAGAGAGAAAAAAAAAGAGCAAATGAAGGAGTGAGCAAGTAGATAAATACATGTTGGAATGTGTCCATGAATGAGTAAATGAATAAATGAGCAAGCAAACAAATGAACAAAAGAGTTTCAGAAACAGAAAGAATAAGCAAGTGAATGAATGAATGGAAGGATGGATGAATGAGTGAGTGATGTGCAAGTAACTAAGGGAAGGCAAGAGTGAATGTTTTTGGGCAAAAACATGGACTTTGCAACCAACCTGTGTGGGTTCTAATCCTAGCTTTGCATTGCTAGGCAAGGGACTTAACCTCTCCATGCCTCAGTTTTCTCATTTGTAAAATGGGGATGGTGGGTTGTAGTGACAAATAAATGAATTAAAATGTATAAAATGCTTAGAGCAATGCTTGGCAAAGTAAGACCTCTTTAAATGTCTGTGATTACTAAAGAACTGGACTCCTGGTGTGGCGCTGTGGATCAGCACTGTACTGTGAACCGTAAGGTCAGCAGCTCAAACCCACCAGCTGCTCCTCGGAAACCCTATACAGGGTCGCTATAAGTCGGAGCCAACTCGGTGGCACTTAACATTAAAGACGTACACATCCATACACATAAAGAAACTCTGAGTCCTCCAAAGGAAACATCTAGGCCAGCCCCACCCCCCTTCCAGCCCGGACCAGGCCCTACCTAGAAGCTGCACCTCATCAGTGATGCCATAGACGTCGATGAGTGCCCAGAGTGGGCCGCCCACGGCCACACTGCAGTGGAAGAGCACCGGCTCGCAGTCGTTGACGCTGTAGAAGACACGGCCGTGGCGGTCGGCCCAGTAGGCCAGCACGGTGTCACGCAGAGCCAGGCTCTCGGGCAGTGCTTTGGCCCAGTAGCCGGGCCGTGTGACGAGGTCGGGACATGCATACTTTGGGATATCCTGGGCGCTCATGAGGGACGGGTCGTGCGCTGTGAAGCCGAAGCGCAGAGCACCACTCCAACCAGGGCGCACGGCCACCAGGCGCAGTCGCACCTGTTCGTACAGCCGGATGGGTCGCTGCGTGAATGTGACGCCGTTGCAGAAGCTGTTGCGCCGCGTTGCCCGGCGTGAGTGGCCGTCCAGCCGCACGTTCTTGCCCTTGGCCTGTGCATGGAAGCGTGGTGCCTCGCCAAGAACCGGGCGCCGATTGGGACCAGGGCCACAGCATGGCCGAGTGGCCAGGAGGCGTGCTGGTGGACTAGACTCTGCGGGAGAGAGAGACAGGGTGGTTAGGCTCCTCAGACTCTCCAGCCTCCCTTCCTCTTTTAATAATTATTTAATTTTAAATCCTGTTTTAATAAATCTGAGAACTGGAAGCTTATGAAAGTTTCAGACAGGATCAAAGGGAGACCCTCTTTGCCAGCTATTTCCAGTTCGCCCCATGTTGCCACAGGGGTGCCACTATACCCACTTCACAAACCAACCAAGGCTTGGGCAGCTTAAGAGGGGTCAAGATCATGATCTTATCACACCAGCAGAGTAAGTCTCCATCCCCATCAAATCCCTCCAGAACTGGGGAATTCCTCCAGGGGTCCTGGTCCCCGAACTCGGGGCAGTAGGGAACCATCCAAAAGCAGCAAATGAACGAGTGAGCAAGCAAACAGATGAACAAAAGAATGAAAAGGGTTTCAGAAACAGCAATCTTGAGGAGTAGTGGAGGTATGTGGCTACTTTTCTTTGTGCAATTTATGTTCAAAAGCAAGGCAGACAAGGCAACAGAAAGGGTGCCATCTTGGGGTCGCAAAGGCAGTCCAGAATTCCAGCTCTCTGGCAGTTCCTGACTGTGCAACACATAACAGACCCAACCACTTCTCTAGTCTGTTGCCTTGCCTGTAAAATAGGGACGTTACTTAACTCACAGTTGCTAAGAAGTAATGAGGATGAAGTTCCTAGAATAAAACGACACATATCCTTTGTTGTTAGATTCCATCAAGTCGAGTTTCATCTCAGAGTGACCCATGTACAGTCGAACCCTATGTACAGCAAAACAAGACACTGACTGGCCCTGCCCCTTCCTCAAAACTGTTCATATGTTTGAGCCCACTGTTGTAACCCCTGAGTCAACCCATTGAATATATTCCTCTTTTTTGTTGAACCTCTACTTTACCAAGCACAGTGTCCTTCAGCATGTCTAAATTATGTTAGATGAAATCTTACCATCCTTGCTTTTAAGGAACATCCCAGCCATACTTCTTTCAAGAGAGATTTGTTCATTCTTCTGGCAGTCCATAGTATATTTACTATTCTCCACCAGCACCATAATACAAAAGCATTAATTCTTCTTTGGTCTTCCTTATTCATTGTCCAGCTTTTCCGTGCATATGAGGTTACTGAAAATACCAAGGTTTGGGTCAGGTGCACCTTAGTCTTCCAAGTGACATCTTTGCTTTTAGACACTTTAAAGAGGTCTTTTGCCGCAGATTTGCCCAATGCAATACATCCATTGGTTTCCTGACTGCTGCTTCCATGGGTGTTGGCTGCGGATCCAAGCAAAACAAGATGCTTGACAACTTCAATATTTTCTCCATTTATCGTGATGTTGCTTATTGATTCAGTTGTGGGGGGTTTTGTTGTATGTTGAGGTGTAATCCAAACTGAAGAATGTAGTGCTTCAAGTCCTCCCAGTAAGCAAAATATCAAAGGTTGTAAATGAGTCTTCCTCCAATCCTGATGTCATGTTCTTCTTCATATAGTCCAGCTTCTCAGATTATTTGCTCAGCACACAGATTGAATAAATATGGTGAAAGGATACAACCTTGACATACATCTTTCCTGATTTTAAACCACACAAAATCCCCTTGTTCTGTTCAAATGACTGCCTCTTGGTTTATATACAAATTCTTCATGAGCACAATTGAGTGTTCTGGAATTCCCATTCTTTGCAATGTTATCCATAATTTGTTATGATCTACACAGCCTTTTCACAGTCCATAATACATATGTAAATATCTTTCTGGTAATTCTCTGCTTTTTTTCAGCCAACATCCATCTGATATCGACAATGATATCCTTCCTTCCATGTCCGCTAATGAATCCAGCTTGAATTTCCAGCTGCTCCCTGTCAATGTACAGCTATAATAATTTTTTAATAAACTTAAGTAAAATTTTACTTATGTGTGGTCTCAGTAATATTGTTTAATAATTTCTGCCTTCTGTTGGGTCACCTCTCTTTGGAATGGGCACAAATAGGGATCTCTTTCGATTGGTTGGCCATGTCGCTACTTTCCAAATTTCTTGGCATAGATGAGTGAGCGCTTCCAGTGTTGAATCTGTTTGTTAAAACATCTCTACTGATATTCTGTCAGCTACTAGAGCCTTGTTTTCACCAATGCCTTCAGTGCAGCTTAGAATTCTTTCTTCACTACCAAAGGCTCAGCATCACACAAGCCACCACCATAGGACAAACTGACAGACGAGCAGTAGATGCCCTTAATAAGGCCAAACCTACAGCCATTGAGTTGATTCTGACTCAGCAATCCTGTATAGGGTTTCTGAGGTTGTAAATCTTTATGGGAGCAGAAAACTTCATCTTTCTCCTGTGGATTGGCTGGTGACCTTGGACTTAAAAAGTCTAGTGCTTATCCTATAGCACCAGATATCCTTAATGACAACTAGTTGTTGTTGTTGTTGTTATATGCTGTGGAGTCAGTTCCGACTCATAGCGACCCTGTACAGGGTTTCCGAGGCTGTAAATCTTTACGGGAGCAGAAAGCCTCATCTTTCTCCCACGGAACAGCTGGTAGATTCAAACTGTTGACCGTGAGATTCACAGCCCGATTCGTAATAACACTAAGGCTTCAAAGGTGTCCCAAGCCAGGGTGCTATGACTTCCTCTCCTTTTTACCTGCAGCAAATGAAGGGATGCTTTACAAGCAAGGCAGCCTTTTCCAGAAGGTACACCCTTCCCCTTTGAGATTCACTGTTAAGGAAGTTCTGTTCTGAAGGTACTGGAAAATCATGGGATGGCTTCCTTTCAAAGGACCTGACCACTACCCATGAACCCAGCCACTACCCATGAACCCAGGTGTTCAGCTGTTAAGATGGGAGCTTCTTCCTTCCTTCCCTTCTCCTCCCATCCCAGTGGCAGTAACCTGTAGACTCTGGCAGCCTGGGGGCATCAGGGTGATTACTGCACATGCATCTGCCCCTCCTCAACAAGAGCAGCTCAGTACATTTTCATGGCAAATTCTCACAGAGCACAGACAACCACAGGCGTACAATGGTCTGCAGTCTCCAGAGAAGAATGATGACCCAGGGCAATGAACGTCACTGCAGAGATCACTCCTCTTGTGCCCAGACACAAGGTACACTGTGCATTGGGCACATTGGAGGGTTATGGGAGTGAGGAAAGTGAAAAGAGAGAGCAACAAAGATCAGGCAGACAGCCCATCGCTCCCCTCCCCAGACTCAAGGGGAAGGGATTCCAGTCACTGAGGAAGGAAATGGTACAAGGAAGCATGAGGCCTCTCTGCTAACTAAAGCCACTGATGCACAGAACACAAAATACAAGGACTAAAAAGCTGGAGCCCCACATTAGAAAAAAGGAATGTAAGAGATTTTTAGTCATTCAGTCATTCAACAAATATTTATTGAGCACCACTATGTGCCAGGCACCAAGCTAAGAGCTGGGCAGACAGCAGTCCGTCAGCCAGACAGAAGGTCCCCACTCTGATGGCAGTGACATTCCTGCAGAAGTTTGCCATCAACCAATGAAACATGATCTTTATTGGTTACAGAACAAAGTGTGGCCAGGGATGGTGTTATGTATTGCATTGTGTCTGCCCCCAATTTGTGTTGTAAATCCTAACCCCTGTGTTGTTGTTAAGTGCTGTAGAGTTGGTTCTGATTCATAGCGACCCTGTATAGGGTTTCCCAGGAGTGGCTGGTGGATTTGAACCGCTGACCTCACAGTTAGCAGTTCAGTGCTCATTCTATTAGCACCACATCAGGACTCCCCTAATTCTTATATCTGTATGGTTATTATATTATTTGGGAATGTTATGTTAATGTGGCAGTTAAGTGCTGTTTGTCCATTCGGACTCAAGTGCCCTCTATAGTGTTTCTGAAGTGTGACTTTATTTGAACAATCAACCCTGTGGTTAGCAGTCCAGTGCTTATCCTACAGTGCACATCAGGACTCTGTTTGTTAATGAGACAATATTAAAATAAGGTGTGTCTTAAGTCAATCTCTTCTGAAATATAAAAGAGATTAAACAAGCAAACAAGAAGCGGAAATGGAGGAAGACAGATACCTTGCTCCATGAAGATCAAGGAGGAGCCACAGAACAAGGATATTCCCCAGAGTTAACAGACAGAAAGAGAAGGCCTTCCCCTAGAGCTGGGACTCTGAATTTAGACTTCTAGTCTCTTCAACTGTCAGAAAATCAATTTCTGTTTGTTAAAGCCACCCACTTGTGATATTTCTGTTATAGCAGCACTAGTTAATTGAGACAGATGTGGACAGAGAGATGCTATCTTAAGACAGGGCCTTCAGGGAGGGCCTCTTTAAGGAGTTACTTTCCTGGCGAGACCTGAAGAAGGTGAGAAGTGAACCATGAAGGTATCTGGGGGGGGAGAACATTCCAGGAAGGGACAACAGCCTGCACAAAGGCCCTGGGGTGGGGATGTGCCTGGCATGGCTGAGAAGAAAGCCTGCAGAGCCAGAATGGTATGAGCAAGTAGGCAAGTGGAGGGGCAGCCAAAACCCGTCTTCCGTAGGCCAAGTGGCGGCGGTGGTGGTGTGCTTTGGAATTGCTTCCAACTCATAGTGACCCCGCATAGGGTTTCCGAAGCGGTAAATCTTTACAGGAACAGAAAGCCTCATCTTCCTTCTGCAGAACGGCTGGTAGTTTTGAACTGCTGACCTTGAGGTTAGCAGCCCAACTCGTAACCACTATGCTACCAGAGCTCCTTCCATAGGCCTGGAGCCATCATGAAACATAGGGCTCCTATGTTTTTCTGCAGTTCCTATAATATGGGCGCCTGCTGCTTCTTTCTGCCCAGCAACTGTCCTCCTCCTTCTCCCCGGGTGGTGGGCTTACCTCATTCCAACTCTAGATATTGGGGTGTGTCCAATTCAAGCATTGTAGACTTGTCAGCTTGGGGAGCTATCTTTTGCTTATAAGTGAGGTTGAGGTGGATTTCTGATACTTGCAACCACCAATATGTCATTTGTGGGTTGCATAGGTCATTCACAATAAAAGAA